CTGAGCTTTATATCTCAAGGAGTCAAAGAAGTAATCCCATCCTTTAGTTTGAAAATCCATTTACGTGAAACAACTCTTTGATTTATAGGTTTCTTTACTAATTTTCATGTGTTATCTTCAAGTAAAAATTTCATTTCTTCTTTCATTGCATCTTTTCATTTATCAGATTTAAAGCTATTCATGGCCTTTTCATAGGATGAAGGTTCTAAATACTCTAAAGATTTACCCAAGATGATGGTAAAGTCGGTCAAGTTATTTATTTCATATCTTGGATTTAGTTAGACTTGCCTCCTTTCCCTATCTCTAACCAATTAATAATATTGCACACTTGTCTCAGCGATGGGAACATTTGAGCTTTCTACTTCAGTCTCAACCTCAACTTGAGGTGGATCTACTTCACCTTCATCCGTGTTAACAACATTTTCATCAAGTGGTCGAACACCAGTTTCATTATTCTTTTGTTGAGTGGGGTTTAGCCTAGCTAGCTTCACCTCACTCTGTGAAATACTCTTTTTAGTTTGTTCTTTTGGATTATCAATTTTATTCTTTATACATGGCATTTTAAATTTGTTAAACACCACATTTAGACTATGAATGATTTTGATGCCTTGTACACCTAACACTCACAATCTATACCCTTTCATACATTTCGGGTACCCAAGCATAACACACTTAGTAGCTCTAGGGTCTAACTTTCCCTCAACTTGATGTGTATATGTCGCACATCCAAATAGTATAATGTGAGAAAGGTTTGGAGGCTTACCAATCCATAGTTCCTGTGGAGTTTTAAATCCAACAGGACTACATGGAGATCGATTTATAAGATAAGCAGCTATAGGCAAAGCCTCAGCCCAAAACCTTTAGCTAATCCAAAACTGATTAGCATACATCTAACTTTGTTCATTAGAGTTCTGTTCATTCTTTTAGCGACTCCATTCTGTTGAGGTATGTGTTTAACAGTTCTGTGTCTTACAATTCCCTTTTGTTTACAGAAATTATCAAACTAGCATTACAAGATTCTAATCCATTATCAATTTTAGAGTTAACTTCTTATCAAGTTGATTCTCCACCATCTTTAACCAAGTTCAGAATTTTTGAAATGTTCCAGATTTAGATTTCAATGGATAATTTCAAACGTTTCTAGAGTAGTCATCAACTATAAAAAGGAAGTACTTAATCCCTCGAAAGGTAAGATGACTTTCTGGTCCCCATAAATCTGAGTAGACATAGTCCAGGGGATTAGAGGTGGTATGGGATCCAACCTCAAAGCTTACCCTATGTGACTTGACTTAACACACATGTTTCACAAAATTCAAAAGGCTCTATCATATCTTTCCCAAGTAATTTTTGGTTACTTAGATACTTCAAACCCTTATTTTCTATATGTCCCATCTTTTGTGCCACAATTAAGATTTGTTTTCAGATATGGTCAAAGATTTAGCATCTTGAGGAGTAACAGTCTCTCCCACAAGATAGTATAATCCATTTCTTTTTGGTCCTTTACCAATTACCAAAAAATCCCTTCATAACCTTTAAAGTGTTATTTTCAGACTTGAAAGAATATCCCTTATATTAAAAAATTCACAATGAGATGAGATTTTTTTTCAAGTTTAGGACATGTCTAATATTTTTCAATTGCCTAACAATACATTCATACATCCTGATGGAAATGTCGCCAATACCATGGACACTTTGAGAGTTATTATCACCCGTATAAACTTTCTTGGGTTCAACTTCTTTGTAATTATTAAACAAAGATTTATCAGGACACATATGAAATGTATACCTTGAATCGAAGATCTAGTCCTTATCAACTTCTTCATTAGACACAGTCATCACAAGGAGATTGTCTAATTCAGAACCAACAGTAGAATTATCAATTCTCCATTATTTTGATCCTTCAATTTTTTCTCTCATTCAAAGCAATCTCGTTTAAAGTGGCCTAACTTCCCATAATGGTAACACTTCTTATTGCTTATATCTCTTGATTTAGATCTAGTTTTAGATTTAGATTTAGATTTTCTATGGTTGAAGTTTTTTCCTTCTTTTCGGTTTTTCTTCGTACAAACATACTTTTCTCTCTTGCACTTCTTCTAGATTCTCTCTTGACCTCCCGAGAACTTAAAGCATTAGTAACAATGGTTTGTGTTAGTTCATCTATTGAGTATTTTATCACATTCTTGATATTTTTGTAGAAAGCAGGTAGTGAATTAAGACAGATGACCACAACATCCTCATCCTCAAATATTTTTATGATTATGAGCAAGGCTCTTAACCAGGATGTTAAAATCACTCAAATTAGTTTTCAGGTCCTTTCCCTTATCCATTTTGAAACTAAACAGTTTCTATAAAAGGTAAATCTTATTAGGCAATGTCTTAGTCAGAAATAAAGTATCTAGTGCTGTCCATGGGGTTTTATGATCTTCTACCGGTCTTACTATGTTATCAGATAAGTACAATATGATAGAATTACATGTCATTTCATTCATATCTAGAATTTCATCAGGATTAGCTTTCAATTCAGCAGAAAAAGTTTCAGGATCATACAGGGCTTTAGCAACTATTTGTTGGACCAACAAAGTCCTCATTTTCTACTTCCAAATGGAGTAATCACTCTTTCCATCGAATTGTGACAATTCGGCCTTCGTACCCATTGCAAGTTCTGTAAAAGGGTGGTTATTACTCGTGGATATAAGTGATTTTTAATATGAAAAAATCATTTAAGTTGCAGAAAAAGTTTTGAAAAACTGTTTTGCAATTAATGACAGGTAAGCTGATCCCAAAATGAAAAACAACAATAATATGACATGTATAGATTGCAATAGCAACAAGAAGAATCGATTTCCAGATTTTTTTTCAATAGATACTGTGTATTATCAGTAGTAAATCCACCTCCATTGCACATTATAGAGTTGGAACATCGAACCCTAGCTTTTAGGAAACTCCGTTCAATTCGAGTTATTGAACTGCACAGATCAAGAAACACATAAATACGAAAAAAAACTTAATCAAATTCACAGCCACCTTACCCATGCCTTATAAGGCTCTGATACCAGTTTATTGGGATTTTCAACCCCAATATACGTAACAATCACACAGATCAAAACTACCAAAGATAAGATAAAAACAATAAAGCATCAATGCAAGAATTCTCGCCCAGTTCAGCAAACGCCTACTTTGGGGGTGCTTAGAGGTAATAGCCCGTTACTATGTGTAAGAACCTCCCAAAAGAGAGCGAAACTATGGATTACAACAATTAGACCATCGATTCAACAGTAGATCATCGACCATTCAAGGATCTTACAATAATCTATGCCTAATCGACACAAGACCCAAACACAAGTGTATTATCACCCTATACAGTTCAACACCGGACAAAAAACCCCAAAAAGGACATCTGGTCAGGGTGGTATATACACAAACAACACCACAGCCGGAATCTTTAGTAGACTGAAGGCCACAAACATGGCCAAGATCTAATATACAACACAAGTTAACCAATCAATCTGATTTATAGAGTTGAAGAACAAGAAATGCCTTAAAATTGCTAGAGACTGTAACAAAAACCAAGAGAATGAAAATCAGACTCCCACCCGTCGAAATGGCAAGCCAAAGGTGAAAAAATAATATGGATCTAAATCACAACCTTGAATTTTGAAAGTTCTAGGAACGCGCTACTACACTTAGAAAGTTCACGGGAACGCTATACAACGTCAAATTCAAATTTTAAACATTTACCAAGTGTACGTTCCAATTACCAATTCGATCTTACGTGCTGAATTAATCTAACTAAAGCAACAAGTCACTTTTGTTAGTTATCTAGATGATTAGACATACAATCCAATTTAATCCTATGTTGAATTACCGCATATTATTCTAAATAACTGAAAGTAGTAAAAACAAAATCAACACAAGAATTGTTGACGGAGAAACCCAACACGGGAAAAACTCCGGGCACAAGCCAGTTACATCCACTAACGATACTTCAGAGATTACAATGATTCGCCAATCAAAGAACCCATCAAGATCCACTGTCACAGCCTGACGATCTACTGCGTAGACTCTCTAGACTCCTGCTAGACTCCTAAGTCCACCTCCTACAGCCCAATCTGCTGTCTCCTACAGTCTTCTGATCTTATACTGAATATCCTCACAAGTGGAACGCCAAGAACATCCTGTTCTTGTGCTTGTAACTGCACCTTGCACCACTCTCTCAATCCACCAAAGAGAGAGTTCCTTCCTTCAATCAGTTGAGGAAGCCAGGTGTTTGTCTTCAAGAATGTTTGTTGTTTTCCCAAGAAATGGTTGCCGGATCACAAGAATTGCATAGATAAAATTTTCAATCAATATTGTCTTGGATCTCTTGAAGAAGATGTAGAAGAAGAATATTATCTTGGATCTTCAATTGATTTGCCTTGGATCTCTTCAAGAATGGAGTAGAAGATGTTTTTCAAGAGAGGCACAATGAGCAACCACACCAAAATTCGTGTTAGGGCTTAGGTATTTATATCTAAAGGTGTTTTGGTAGTATGGGCCGAGTAAAACATTTAAAAATGCGTACTAGGGTTTTTTTCGCGTAGAACGGTCGCTCGAGCGAGGGTGGGGCGAAACTCTAGCGAGACCCATTCTGTTATTATCGCTCGAGCGAGGGTCGAGCGACTGCTGAGTAGTCGTTAGTATTTTCATCATAACTTTCTCTTCTGATGTCCGATTGAGGTGATTCAAGTTTTGTTGAACAGATAACTCAAAGGGATACAATTCTTCTAGAAATATCCTCAAATTCCAACTGTTTCTATGTGTAAAATGTGTTCCAAGTGAAGACTAAAAATCCGAAACATAATTTGTGCGGCTCTTTGATATCTTTTAGACTTCCAATTGCATTCCGATGATCTTATGTGATCTTCTTGGATATCTTGAACTCCTTTAACGACTCAAACACTAATTTACCTCATCTATACAAAATTGCACCTCAAGTCCTTGACTTTTACAAGAATGTTCAATTGAGTTACAAACATACGATTAAATCCATTTTGTTCACAGAATTGCCAATAACACATTTAGACCTAACAAATTTGATCAACGGTCAAGCCCAATCTTCAACAAACACAAATCCATGTAAAAAGGAATCAGCCAACTAGTGAATGTGAAGTGGACAGGAGACTTAAGAAACGTTTTCTCACTTACAAAAGTGCACTTTGGGGACTTTTGAAAACACATTTTACACCACCTTAATAAACTATGACAAAAATCACTTGATTAAAATTCAACATTGACACCACAATAGGCTTTGGCACTGCTCTCAGACATCTGGGTGGCACTATTGAGGTAGAAATGGACCAACCCAAAATTATCAAATGGATTGAATTGCAATGGATGATCTGAATCCACAAGCTCTTTAGGAATATTAGTAGTCCCATGATTGAATGAGAATAATGCAAGACAGTATCTTTCCTTGTCCTCTTTCATAATAACTTGATGCCTGGCTGCATGTATTCTCCCATTGCTCCATGCCTAAGCCAAAAAAGAAAAAGGGGAAATATAACAAAAAAAAAACTCTTTTTACTTTTTGTTTTAGGTCCCTTGAGGGAAAAAACATTAAATTGTTAGAGAATGGTCTACTTATTTACTTATAATCTCTATTTTTTGAGGATTAAAATAAAATTTTTAATAGATTTTGATAGGAGTTAAGAAATGTGTGGTTGAAAAGTTGTTGATTCTATGAAATATGTTATTAAAATTAATTGTTGACTTTGACTTATATTAAAATTAGAATTTTAATCCCAACTTCAGGACATAATTTATCTTCAACACACCCCTCTATTCACATTTGATTTCTTTTTTCCCCATAAAAAAGCCACAACAAAGGATTTTCACGTATTGATGATAATGAGACTTAAACAAAGTACCTTAGTCTAATATGATATTATGCAAGTTACACCTCTACATTGAATCGAGATGGAATAAATTTATTTATTAGTATTTTATTTTCTATTGTTGTATCAAATACTTGATACTGAACTAGGAAGAGGGAATGCTATTTCTGTGTTGATCATGGAAAAATAAAGCCGAGTCTCTAACTTATGTGAAATGTTGAAATTAGTGTTTATCATTTTACCCTCAAAATATTGTATACATATGATACAATCAACTGCGTTTTTAAGCATCATCAATAAAAGGAGGCCATCAAGCGGGACCTAAGCTCCACCAAAATGAGAGATTGAACTATGTGAAGTAACAAGAAATGGAAATCTATTCGCATGTTGTATTCCCCAAGCAAATTTTTTCTTATCACAACATATTTGGTCGTTTCGTATAAGCATTGGATTTTACAGAATATGTGGATAGTAAAATCTGTGCCCTACTAAATTTGTGAATAAAAAACATGTTTGATTAGCTTAAATTATTATTTCAGCTATACCAAACAGACTAAAACTTAAAAGTAAGGATTTTTTTTATTTATTTATTTTTTTTTTCACTTTTAAGCACAATTCTACATTCTGCTCTTCAAAGAAATATCTGGGAAGGATGTTCTTATATTTCTACGTAGAGCATTTGACTTGCATCATGTATAGTAATAGGACCTAAACAACTATGACAAGTTTGATTAAGAGGGGGAAGAAGATGCAAAAAATTGGAGCAAAAATATCATTGATTAAATTATAAATATACAAAAATGAGTGATACACAAATTTATATTATTTGAGGATCTCACAAAAATGTTGGGATAAAGAGTAAGTTTAACCTACTATATGTAAAACAATGCCAAACAATCTTAAGAAACCTATTAGGATTAAGGTGTGATCTGAATTCTATTAGAAGTTTGTTTGAGAATTCTAGTAGGAATTCAATTTGGGAGTCCAATTGGGAGTTTGAAATTTGTGTTGGATTTGAAGATGATTTGAAGGTATCCAAATTGCAAGAGGAAAGGAAGAAATCGTGGAAGGACAAGGAATGTTGAACTGACGCTTGATAAGCGCCTTGATCCTGCTCGAGTTCTTAAAATAGGAGTTCCATTTCTCACTTACCGTAAAAAGGCTGCTCAACAACTACTCTGGTAGCAGTCTTCTGAAATGCATGGCTAGAAATTTTGGCAATTTTTAAGCCATATTTTATCCTAAACACTCCATACTTGTTATAATTGAACTCTATCTCATCTTAGATCTTCTTTACAATGTAAATACAAGGAGTAAACCTCTTGAAAAATCATCCTTACATTCTCCAAAATTTGTAATCCTCCATTACTAATATTAGTAAATTCTCATATTCTACTTGTGGTTTTTCCACATAAAATTTTGTGTTCTTAATTGCTTGATTTTCATATTTCCATAAAATATTATTCTCCATTCGGTTAGATTGTTAGCAAGTGGTATCAGTGCGAGGTTCAATCAACTCAATTTGAGGTTTGAATTTCTATGATGGCTACAATGATGATATTTTACTTTTGGATCAGATTACCGGATTTTTGTTATGATAGGTAAAGTACAAGCAATGTTTGCTCAGATCAATTTGAATGATACTTTGCTGGGATTTGACAAGATACCTTAACATAAACATTGGAGGAAAAACAACATAAGAATCAAAAGGCCCTATCACAGATTCATTTTCATCTTTTGAATCATATTCTTTAAGACGTTTTAAAGGAGAAAATCATCGCCAAATTATGGTTGAAATTGAAGCAATTATGTTTGATGAAAAGTTTAACTAGCAAATTGTATTTGAAGCAGCGATTGTATTTTCATTATACTACAAAGGTACATCACTAGAAGATCGCCTAGCTATTTTTAAGGAAATAGTTATTGATTTAGAAACCTCGAAGCTCAAGTATGATGAAGAAGATTTAAAGTTGATTTCATTGTGTTTGCTGCCCGCTTCATATGTGTCTTTTGGATACACTATTTTATATAGTCGTGATTCTCTCACCATTAAAAAAAAATATAATGCTCTATTTTTAAAGGAGAAAATACAACATCTTATTGGATTTGAGGCTCATGAAGATAGCCTTGTTGTTCATGGTGGTGATGTAAGTGACAGATTAAGATTTAATTACAAAATCTATAATTTTTGCAAGAAAAAGTGGCACATTAAGAAGACTTGTTTTAAGTTGTAGAATATGAAAAAGAAAAAAAGCACTGTTAGAATTGTTATAAGTTGCAGAATATGAAAAAAATAGCTGCTACAAATCAGAAAGAAAAACAATCAAAAACTTAAGTTGAAGCTAGTATTGTAGAAGACTGGTATAATGATGGAGAACTTTTGATTATTTTCGATGGCAACTCCAAACTTGACGATGACTAGATTCTTGATACAGCTTAAACGTGTCATACGTGTCCTAATTGAGATTCATTTTCAACATATGAACAGTTTCAAAAGGCATTGTGGTAATGAAAAATAATGCGCCTTGTAAGATAGCTAGTATTGGAAGGGTCAGAATAAGAAGTTCAATGAGATTGTTCGGACACTTGATGAGGTAAGACATGTTCCAAATATGAAAAGAAATCTTATCTCCTTATGCATTTTTAATTCAAAAGGGTATAAATTTATTGGTGAAAGTGGAGTCCTGAAGATAATTAAAGGTGCCCATATTATAATGAAGCTAAGTTATGTCTTGTAGGATTCTATAGAATCTTTGGATACCAATCGGTAAAAATTAGGCACTCAAGTGGATTTTAAGTTTGCTACAATATCGTAGAAGCTTAGTTTAGGATCTGTATTACAGAATACATCTCAATCGAGTTCAGAAGTTATGAGTAATCCTGTTTTGCCACCACCACTGGCGGTGCTACAATATTCAATTGTTAGAGAAAGACACATGAGAGATATCAGGTCTCCACAAATGTACAGGGAACCTAATTTAGTTGCTTATGTATGAAATGTCAGAGAAAGTATTGAGTCTAGCAAATGACTTTCTATAGTAATAGTTAATTGTGATAACTCTAATACAATGTATGTTTTTTCTTATTTGGTAATTATTAAATTATTTGTGATCTTGTTGCTCGTGGTGATAATTTGTGCAACTTTGACACCAAAGATAATCTTGCTAAATAGTACTTGGATTAAGTTGATATTAAGCTCTTAAGACTGCCCTAGTTGGGTTTTGTGGAAGACGCAGAGAAATTTTTTGTTGGGAAATTTTGGTGGTAAATTTATTATTGAAGAGTTAAGTTTTTATTTCATGTCATGAAATTCATCTCCAGGTGGAGAATTTTTGAAGTTTTGTTCATTGTATTGAAATTCATGTAAATGTGAAGTTTGTTAGAATTAAGGTGTGACTTGAATTCTATTTGAAGTCTATTTGGAAATTCCTATTGTAATTTAATTTGGGAGTTAAATTAGCAGCTTGAAATTTGTGTTGGACTTGAAGAAGACTTAAAGGAGTCCAAATTGTAATAGAAGACGAAGAAATCGTGCAAAGAGAAGGAAACAGTGAACTAGCACTCACTAGACGCCTTGATACCGCTCGAGTGCTGAAAACAAAAGTTCCAGCGCTTGCTCACTGCAAGACAACCACTCAAGCGGCAGGCCATCACTCGACAGTCATGAGACCACCACTCAAGCGATGGTTTTATCTTGAAATGCATTGTTTGCAATTTTGGCAGGTTTTTTATAATTCTATTTTATCTACAACACTCCTTATTGTTTGAACTTGTTATTGTTGAACTCTACCACTTCTTAAGCTCTCCCTTGCACTATAAATATGAGGAGTAAACCTCTTGAGAAATCATCCATACATTTTACATAATTTATAATCCTCCATTATTGATGTTAGTGGTTTCTCTTATTTTGTCCGTATTCACGTAAAATATTGTCTTATTGATTATTTGATTTTCATATTGTCATATTATTCTCATTCTTTTATTTCCTAACAAGTGATATCAGAGTGTTACCGGCCGGTTAGTTTGTTAACAAAACCTAAAAAAGTTAACTTACTTGATATGCATCCCCTGACATGACAACAAATGATCCAGGTGGTACATCCACGGAAATCCACTCCCCATTCTTGAGCTGCACTTCCAGTCCATTAACTTCAGTTTGACGAAGTATGGTCAGGAAACTCTTGTCTGTATGAATATTTGTGCCAATATTGCCAATATTGTTGCTTATGATGTTGTCCGGAGCTGAATATTTTATGGGTCTAAGAAGATATGTTGTTGATTCAACATGGGATTTGTAGTGTTTTTGGGTACCATAGCTTTCAAACACCATTTTGTCTACCATTTGCTCCAGTTGTGATATCAGTCTTGCATAAGAGAGTAAGGTTTCACTACAACAAAAGGAAGTGAACAAATCAAATCAAATGGCATTTTAGATGGAAGAAACAAATAAAAATAAATATATAGAAGCAGTACTTTTGATAAAATTTATGCAATGTTAAACTAATCTCACTCCAACACAGAATTTGAGATGTACATAGAGGTACCCCTTGTTGGAAAATGCCAAAACATTTAAATACTTGCGAGGGAGGGATTATTCTTAGAATAAAAATTCTAGCGTAGGATTAGAATTGGTTTGACAATGGAGTTTTGGAGTGATTAAATCTTTTTACTTCTATTTTATGAATAAAAAACTCCTTTTGAAGTCGATTTTGTGTGGAGAGAAATCCACTCAAAACTTACCCTCGACTTAAGCTCAATTTTGTTTTCAAGAGTCCTCTAGTTCAAATTTGAGTAAACTCATATATTATCAAAATAAATAATATGTCATGGGACCTAAGAATGACAACGTGAGTATGGGATATGAACCTTATAATCCCCCTTGCCTTCCTGCCCCACCTCGGTCAGGGATTCCCCCATCCCATCCCATCCCCGTTTAGGCAAAGGAGGGCGGGGAAGGTCCCAATCCTAGAGTAAAACTTTGTTTTTTATATTTTTTATAATGTGAATATGTGATGTTCTACATTGCTTTCAGAGAGATGGACCCAATTGTAGAAATTGTTTCCAATCCAAACCCACAATCTATAATGACTAATGGACATCTAATTTGTATGACTAGTTAACCCCCACAAACCCTCAACCATATATATATATTTTTTTTAAAAAATAAACAGGGTAAACGGAGCGGATCCAGATCAAGGTTTGGGACGGGGGACCATGATTCTTGTCCTCGCCCTGTCCCTGACTCACGACAGATCTCTTAGCCCCATTCCTAACCCCCCCCCCCCCCCCCCCCCCCCCCCCCCCCCCCCCCCCCCCCCCCCCCCCCCCCCCCCCCCCCCCCCCCCCCCCCCCCCCCCCCCCCCCCCCCCCCCAAGATGGAGAATTCCGCATCCCTATCGTGTTAGGTTTAATTGCAATTCCCATCTTGTTGGCAAACCTGTTGTTGGTCACAACTATTTTAAAAAAAGTTGTGCACACACACATCAAGTTTCTGAAAACTAAATAAATAAATAAGCAAATGAATCCAACCTTTATTAGCCTCATAAACGTGTTAGGTGCAATAGTAAGTCCAAATAGCATGACTAATCACTCATATAGACCATATATACTTAATTTTGAAAGCAGTTTTTCTCTCATCTTGTTGACTAAAATTCCGCTTAGATTTAGTTTATTGGCGCGTTTTCAATCAAATTTAATTAAAATTTCATCTGCGTTTTGTTCATCGACAAGTTTCCAATCAAATTTGACTAAAATTTCTGATAACATAAGAATTTGAATAATAATAAACAAAAATTAATCCTCAGTATAATAGCTCAAAATTTAAACGAAACGGTTTGAAGTCCATACTAGAATTGCTGGTTTCCAGAAGGCCACATGAGATCCACGAAACGTTGAACTCCATTGGCGGTTGTTGCATCTGGAATTCCCAAGCTTTCATGAAGAGGAGCATGAGGAATTTGTCCAACATAACCATGGAACATCACATCTGAAAAGTTTTGAGTTTTGGTCTCTAAAGGAAGATCAAACAATTCTTTTACAACATTGAACACTTTTTTGTCAAGTTCTGAGGAAAACCCATCATATTTTGCCACGAAAAATCCATATTCTTCAAGTGCAAGGCGAACATCTTTGCATGTTGCAATCCAAGAACTTGTGTTGGGCTTCAAATTTTCCTTTGAAAAATGGATAATTGGAAGCTCGAAAAGTGTTTGAGATGCCATATAGCCTTAGATTTTAATAGGTTCTTGAATATGCTTAATTTGAATGCGTAGATATGCAATGGAGCCTTTGTTTTCATTTATATTCCTAAAGCATGCATTAGATTTCTTTGTATTGTCAAAATTAGAGCACGTCACAGTAGGTGCATAATGCCTCGAAGAATTATATTTTATTTGTTTGAAGATAAAATATAAATGAATAATATTTTTTCTTTAACAAATTAATATTTAAATGAGGTGGTTTGATATATACAGAATAGTAATTCATGCGAGTATTGGAAGTTCCAAATTAATGTTATAGTATTCTATTAAATAATAATCTGAATAATATGTGACAAGATGTATTGAAAAATATTTTACTCGCTTACTGTTGGATATTTTTTACAACTCCATTTTATGTCGACTTAAATAAATACTTTTTTTTTTAATGTTTAAACCTTTGAAAGAACCGATTTATTGAATTATATGGTCTACAAAGAAATACATCTTAGCAAAATCTATCTCTTTTCACAAACAAGAAACTGACATTTATGCAGATTCGGTTTAAGAATCCATATACGTAAGGCTAAGATTTTGTAGATTTTTCAGAGTTTTCTAAGGACTGGTCAAAGATTTATAAAGAATTGACCGATTGATATATGTTACCTAATGTTTAAAATAATTGTAAAAGACTCATAATTACAACTATTTTTGTATTACCAGCGTTATCAAAAGTTTTAAAATTAGAGATTGGGTTTTTTTTTTTTTTTTTAGTTAAGGTGTAGGACATGCGTCCACTGGAATATATGTAATTTATAATGTATATTCTCATATTATATATTCTTTCTTTTTCATTGAATAAAGATTAGTTATATAGACGTTGTCATAAATTACATCATTTTATGTAATCCATTATGTACAAGCAGCATAATTCAAACTAACGGATATTACTACATATACATTAAGATTTATATAATGGGTTACATAATGTCATATGTCACTCTATTATTTGTCAGTTTAAACTTTTTCATCCAGTCTTTTCCCTTCACATCATTTTATGTAATCCATTATGTACAATTTTTATGTACAAGCAGCATAATCCAAAACTAAAATCATTTCTTTCTATATTTGCAAAGCACAAAGGGAATGAAACCAGTGTGGAACCATTATTCGCCATTCCTTTGCCACGCAAATGCAGTTGCAACCCCTATCTCTTTTCACCATCGACTTCGTCGTCAAATGCTTCCTACAAACATCCCATCTCAGTTGAGACTTGCTGAAATTTGATGTCAAATCCACTAAGTCCTTGGCCTCCACCTTCGTCGGAATCTGACATCCACCAATATACTATTTACTTTCATTGTTCTTTGAGTTATTAACATAAGAACTCATTAGTTGTTCTGCAATCTATTCAAATTTGAAAGGAAAATTTTCTAATTTCAATAAATTCGAGTTCTTCTTTGGCGATAAAATCTTGTTTCTTTTGTTTTCATTTGAAGTCTACTTTTGATTATGTTATTAGTAGATGCTAGCATGATTATTATTGTGTGTTGAGAATTTTTGTCTCCCGAGATTCTTAAAATTATTATTGTTGAAGGTGATGATATGAAGTTGAACCAAGCTTTTGGTGCATCTACAATTCGTGATGGGGCGGAATGGGGTAGGTGGACGTCATGGTAAAGGAGGATTTGTGGTGGTGATGGTGGCATATTTAAGGTGAAGGTGTATGATGCGGGTGGTGGTGGGATGGAATAGATTGGATAAAGAGCGATTGTAACCAACTATTGAGTAATTGTGACCATTAAAACGAATAAATTATGATCAATAAATAATATATGACTTAAAAGATGTGTGATTTGTGACTAAATTGGTAATTGTGATACACATTATGTTCCCATGATAGATAAAAAAATTGTGACCAATTAATCTGATAAATTATTAGCGTAAAATGAGTTTTGACCAATAAATTTGTGATTTGTGATTAAAAAAAAAAAAGTCGTGACCAATTAATTTGATAATTTGTGATCATGAAATAAGTTATGACCTATAAAATTTGTGACTTTTGATCAAGAAATAGATTTTAACTTATAAAATAGTTTTTTGATTAATATAAGTTGTAGACAACAATAGATCACAGTCACATAACAACATGTCACAATGAACGTATTACAAGTCACAAACAATCATAGTAAAACTTGACCTGGTTAAATATAGTCACAAATAATACACTTGATCACAGAGAGTCAAAGTTAACATATAGGTCACAAATAGTCACAATTAACAAAAAATTGGTCACACAAAAGTCATTGTTCACATATTAGATCACAAACACTGCCAAGACAGACATAATCGCATATAGTCACAATCAAGAAGATGTATGTACATATAGTCAAAGTTAAGACATATTAGGTCACATATAGTCATATCTAAGGAACACTTGGTCACAGACAGTCACGTTTAAGAAATGTTTGATCACATACAATTGAAATTAAGATAAAACTGATCATAAACAATCATACTGAAGACAAACCTACTCATAAATAATAGCAACTTACACATACTTGATCACAAACACCCAATATTATGAAAGACATGATCATATACAATCACAATTAAGACATAAATGGTTACAGAATTATTAATTTCAAATATTAAGACATACAGGATCACATTTATTAATAACAAATTATACAATTAACCGGTCACGGTCACTAATTTTCTTTTCACAAACTATAATATTTTTATTAGTTGTAAATCACACCATTTTCCTTTATTTTAAGTTTTGACTATAACTTGCTAATCTCTTAATCGCATTATGATTTTAAAAAATTATAATTTTATTAACCAAAATTTACAATTCATGTGCTCCATTGCTAAATCAGAAAACCTCTTAAAATGCTAATCATAACATCTCCACACCTTCACTGATTTGGCTCCTTTTCAGTTCCCACAACAATTTCACAAATTGATTCCCAACTTAGTTTCAATTTTGCTGCTCGCCATCCGCATCACCGCCCATGGACGACCAAAATTTGCCTAAAAAAATGGTGATTTGTTGTGGAGTCATGGAGTCTGCACCGCTTACTTCGACCGTCACACTTAAAAAAAAAAATCATCCGTTGCTTGTGATGCCTTAGATAAGGCCAGTGGTTTCCTCTCTCTTGATTGGTGCAATGATTATGGTTGATTGGTGTGAGTATGGTTGATCGGGACATTTGTGTAGAGATAATTTGTGTATAGAGAGATTCTTGTGAAATTGGTTTTCTGATTTTCATACATATTAATAGCTTATAAATATATGCAATTTATTATTGTAATTTATCACCTGATTTTTTAATGATTTTTATGAGTTTGTTAAATGTGAAATTATATACTTAAAGTATTTTATTTATGTATTTTTCCTTTTTAACATCCATTAATAGTCAAGTTGTGGACGCCCCCATTTAATGTTGAACAATGGCTGTTAATGTAGGTTTTACTTTCTTTCTCATGTTCTGATTATATTTTCTTATGTAGGCACGTCTCAAATTAAAGGAATTTTGTTTTCCATCGGGATAGAAAAATATGCCTATATAAGGAGTGATTGGTTGTTTCGAACAAGAGAACAAAACAATTGAGAGACTTGAGCATGTGGGAGGGGCGGGGGGGGGGGGGGGGGGGGGGGGGGGGGGGGGGAAGAGAGAGAGTGAATGTTGACCCACAAGTGATATCCCCAGTTTTAGTCAAACGAAGGTGATAGGTCCTGAGTTCGATTGCGATGCCTATCAAGGTAAGAGCCCAAACATAGTGAAGAGTTGAGTCTTGATGGAGTATATAATATTTCTTGACTTGAGAAAGAAAAGTAGATAGATTATCAATTGAGAAGGAGCTGAGATGATTTGGTAATTTACTTGAATGGGGATTAATGTTAAGTGCAAGCGAAGTCTCACGTTGATTAGACATAGAGTAGAATTTAAACAAATTCTACTTCAACAAACAAAATCCCAAAATTTCTTCACTTGGAGAAAAAACTTTACTGCAAAGAATGAACTGAACTATTCCACAAGAACCAAACTAAAATCTCCAACAAACCAAAAAATTCTCCACATCTTCCACAATATGCAACTAGGATAAATAAATCCAAGTACAGCTCTTCAAAATTACCTTGTGTTCCCAAAAAATCAAAAATGATTTAAAATTTACTAAATAGGGCCGAAACATACCTTGAAACAGAATCAACACTAAATGCATTTGTAGAATGCCACTTACGAGAATCAACACATTTAAATACACTTAAAGCATGCGTAACAAAATTAGCTTCCCTATAATTATCTCCACTGGATCTATCCCTAACTATTGAATATAATGGTACCGCAGGTGATGGTGGCATAGTGGTGTTACACATATCCTTTGAACTCAATTGAGATGTATTCTTCAACACGAACCTCAAATGGCATCCCTACATTACTATATTATACTGAATATCCACTATGGTACTAAACATTTGCTAATTATTTTTCGATGATCTTGTAAGATATATAATTGAGACTTTTTCAGTCCCTCTAATATAACGTGGACACCTATACAAACCTTCAAAGTTCAACCTCTACCTTTGCCAATGAAATGATACCATTTTAAATCAAGAGTCACCAACGAGATGAAATTTTTCTTCAAATTTAGAGTATGTCGACCGTAATCAAATGTTCTAAATGTCCTATCCAACAACTAAAATACGACTTTACCAATACCCGCTATTCGACGAGGTGCGTTGTTCTCTTGATCACGACATCTTTCGAAACTGTTTCATATATTGAAAACAAACATTGATTGGAATAAATATGAAAAGTACAAGCTAAATACAAAAACTCAATCCTCGTCAGAAATAACCAAGACATCTCCATCACTCAAATAGTCCTCTGTAACATCAATTTCACCTAAAGTTTTTGGCTGCCTGCCATTTTGATTTGCAACCAAATTTCCTTTATTATGCAACTTGTTGCAATCCCTCTTGCTATATCATTTCTTCTTACAAAATAAAAGCAAACTTGATTACTGAAATTAGATTTCAACCTGCCCCTTCCATGACCACCATGAATAACAAGGGTTTCTCTATCTCTAGCCT